CTCTCGGTGAGGATGAAGCTTGCATTGGGGGGTACACGTTCTCCTCTTCCTCAAAAACTGGCTGCAAGAATGAGTATGGGAGTGAGGATTTGGGAGTGTCTCTAAACAAACCTTGGTGGAGGGCAGAGACAGGGTCCCCAGAAGGGGCAGAAGGCTCCCACTGGTATCTGAAAGTCAAGCACCAGTGGTAGCTGGGGAAGAAAATGAGAGAAAGATGTAAAACGCCCAGTGCAAAGGGTAGGGCCAGAAAACTCCTGGTAAAGTGAAGGTGAACAGGCAAAGGATGAAAATTGCCTCTAATTTGCCGCCAGATACGGAGAGAGGGAGATGAAGTTCCCACTCTCTAAGCTCTTCCCTGGGCACCTTGTTAACAGCTCAGCTCTGGGCTCAGTGGCCAGCTCTGTGGTGATCATTATTATACATTTAACATTCACAAACCCTCCTTGCACACATCACTTGCTAATCAGGGTGTGTGCTGGGTCCAGGGAAAAGAGGCTTGGCCTCATAGAAGCTGCCAAGGGCTCCTGGGGCATCTGCAGCCTCCCTGCCAACAAAAAAGTGGGGGCAGGGAGAGATGGAGCTGCACATTGAGAGGTGTCATAAAGCTGGGAATGAAGAAGAAGATCGGATGTTGGAAGACGCCAGACCCAGAAGATGCTGTGTAGTTGAGGCTCCAGGTTCCATGCCGAGGGGCTGGATCCTCCCTGGTAGTAAATCATCTCTCACTCCCTCCTCCAAATGACTGGTATGTTGCCATCCACCAACCCCTTGCCATGCCTTGGAAAAGCTGGCAAAGATTAATCTCTACCTGCTCTGCATACACAGCATTTTGTTCAGAGAGATAGCAATTTCCCTTTCCAGTGCTTGGGCCTTGGTTGGGGAGAGGGGGCCAGGTGAGAGGGCATGTGAGCTGGAGGGTGAGGGACGGGGGGCTGGAAGTTGGTTGTTGCTGCTAAGTTTTGTTTAGCTTTGGAGCTACAGCCTCAACTCTGGTGGGGGCGGTGGATCCGGAGGCCGCCCGGGTGGAAGGACTCTCAACCTCTGCTTCCCCATCCCCACTCCTGCTCCCCAAACGCGCCACCCATGGCCATTTCCTAGGCTTCCCGATTCTTGCGACCTGATCCCGCTAGTCCTTTTCCGCCTTCTCCTTTCCCCGTTGGCGTCCTGGGGGCAAGGAGCGAGGCTGGCTGAGTCCCGGGGGCGGGGGTGACCCCAAGGGCCTCCTGGAGCCGGCAGGCAGCCAGCTGGCGGCCCCTTATCTGGTAAGGGGCACCTCCTCCCTCTGGTCCAGCGCGACGGAGGAGGCCTTGCTGAGCACCGAGGGCGCGAAGGTGAGGAAGGAGTCCGAGCGGGAGGTGGAGGCACAGGTGAAGTCCGAGGCGGCGGCGGCCCTGGGCGCCAGCCCGTTGGCCGGGCCGCTGTGACAGGCAATGCAGGAGCAGGGGCCTCCGGCCGAGGCGCCCAGTCCGTGCGCGGGCCCGGGGTAGAGCGGCGGGTGGCGGAAGGCGCACAGCAGTTCGGGCCGCGGGTAGGGCTGCGACAGCACGCGGAACGTGTCGAGGGGCCGCAGCGGGCCGCTGAAGGGCGACGCGGCCGAGGCGGCGGACGCGGCGCCCAGGCCCACCGGCGAGTAGTAGGGCAGGGGCAAGTGCGATGGGAAGGGGTAGGGCAGGCCGCCTGCGGCCGCCGCATGGCTCATCATGTACGTGTAGAAGGCGGGGTCCGCCGGGTGCGGCCACGTCATGGCCAGGCGCTGCCTCTTGTCCTTCATGCGCCGGTTCTGGAACCACACCTGGGGAGAGGAGCGGAGCAGGTTCGGCTGCTGGACTCGGCCCGATGCCCAGAAGCCCGAAGTCCGGTCCCGCTCGGGGGACAATGTTTGCAGCGCAGGAAGAGCCAAAGCGGACACCAGCTGGGTAGAGATGGACCCTACCACCACCACCTGAAGCTGGAATCCCTCCGAGAGAGGTTCAAGAAGTGACTCCAGCCCGCTCCCTCCTTGCCTCTACCCAGGTGGCCAGGCCCCTGGGGGTGCCAGAGCCCAGTGTAGAGGGCCAGTGAGAAGAGGTGGAGTCAATCGACCTGCGCTGACAGCGCGTCCCCAGAAAGACAGTGCGTCCCCAGAAACTTCCTTGTCACCCGCAGAGGCACTCTATTCGCTCTCGGCATTCCCACCCCTTGTCTATTTAGCCAGGAAAGGGACAGAGTCAACCACATGGCAGCAATACCTGCGTAGGAGCTGTCACAACGGTAAATCTGCACCCGCCCGCGCCGGGTAGAGAGACCCCAGGCCCAGATTCCAGGCGTGTGATTTAGGGAGTGGGCAGTTGGTATTTACTTCCCGCTAAATAGGTGCACACCCGCCTCCCCAGCCCAGACCCCCGCATACCTTGATGGTGGTTTCCGGCAGGTTTAGGGCGGCCGCCAGCTCGCATCTCCGCGGCCTGGATACGTAGTTCTCCCGGTAGAATTCCTTCTCCAGCCGCGCAATCTGCTCACGGGTGAAGGCTGTGCGGTAACGACGCATCTGGTCACTGGCGCTGCACGCCAGGGTGCCTTGCGAGCCGCCACCGCCGCCGTTGCTCTTGGGGGTCTCGCTCCCTCGGTTTGGACTGCTGACCAGCGCCTCGGAGCCGGACCCTGCACAGCGAGTCCAGAGCATAGGCGTGTACAGACACAGACACACAAACGCCACTGAAGCGGGGCTGTAGGCCTAAGGTGGGAGGGTGATTTGGGAAGGGACACCCCCTCAGCCACCTCAGTAACTGTTTCTGCTGGAGCTCTGCGGCCTTTTGGGAACCCAGGACGGGAGATAAGGGCCTGTCCTTGATTCGGTTGGTGGAGGTCTTTGGAGAGGCCTTCCTCTAAGACATCCAGGGTACAGGGGTTCACAGCCATCCTTCCCACCTGCCCTGGGGCATAGGTGAGCTCTCTGACTCGGGTTGGCAGGGGTGGATAAGGGTGTGCACTTCTGACGGGCGCATGAGTTGAGGTGCACCTTTGTGCTAGAGAGTTGTAAACTCTGGGTTCGAGTACATTGTAGGATGCTGGGCGTTCAGAGAATTTCCTTGCTCTTACGTGTGCCGGGCTGCCAGAACAGGTGCGGGAATGTGTATTAGGTTCCGTGTACTGCAGAAGTGGAGTGAGAACGCATGATGAGTATCGTATTCATTACCTTAGTATATGTGAGTGGGGTGCAGGTTGTCCTGAGGGCAGGTTATATAGGAAGGAGGCTGGGTGAAGTGGGTGATAAGACGGCATGGGGTAGGTGCAGGAATTCAACAAGGTGTTGGCTGCCAAGGCAAGGGGGTGGTCTTTCCTCCCTCCCAGGCTCTTTTCACCCACCCTGTAGTTCTGTGGAGGAGTGTCCTACGGTAAGCGCCCCCACACCCCAGTTTTCTACCCCCTTCTGAGGGGGTGATTGTTGGCACAGAGCGAAACTCCCTTCCGGGCTATCCACCCCCTTCCCATTAGCCTTTGGTGGGGAGGGGTTCTCCAGTTAAACCAGCCCCCCTTTGGGCCTACCTCTGAGAAGGGTGGGGCTCCAGCCCCCTGCAGCTCCTTTTCCTTTGGGTGGAGAAGTGGGACTAGGAAGGAAAGGGGAAGGGGGGGAGGACCCGATCTCTGCCTTTTCAAATGCAACCGGAGACCAAAGGCAATTAGACCATTGGGACCATTTCCGACCTGGCGCCGCCAAGCCCGGGAAGTGACAAGGTAATTTGGACCTCTGACCGACGTGCAAACTGGTCGGAGGGCTGCAGCACCCGGCTTGCCCTAGTGGGCCGCGATTTTACGGTTCTTTATGGACCCCTGGCTTCCGAGCCTCCATACCTCTTACACCCCGCCAGCCACAAACTGCCGGGACTGGCGTTTGATCTTGCCCTCGCCTGGGAAATGTGTCTTCCCCGAGCAGCTGAAGCATTCCCCGAGCAGTTGAAACACAGGGGGTTTGGGGTGAGCTTTGAATCCCCCAAGCCCAGGACTTGCATTCGTCCCTCCACCCCCCGCACTCAAGGCACTGCTGTCACCCTCAGTCCCGCCAATGCCAGAACACAGTAGGAGACCCCCCAGAAGGCAAATAGCAGGGAGAGTTGCTCAGGTGGGTCCCCCCAGCCATCCTGCCCTAGGAGGAGGAAGTGTCTTCCTCCTGGCCTACGCCAAAGTGAAGGGTGGGCACAGTGGGAGGCCCGGGGAAGCGGAGGGGCGCGGTGGCTACCTTTGCTGTGCTGGTACTCGGCGTTCCCGGTGGCGCAGTCCGGGGTGCAGCTCACCTCGATTTCTTCATAGAAATCCGACTCGGTGTCCGAGCTGTTGGGTTGCCCCTGGCCGTCGGCAGAGGGGGCTGGGGGTCCTGGGCCAAGCATGGCCGCCCCGGCTACCCGGGGCTCGGCGCCAGGCCCAGCCGCGCTGCCTGCTAGTCCATCGATCGGCTTCTCCTCCGGGCCTCCCCCGCTGAGCTCCCGGTTGGCCGGAGGGACGGCCCGAGGGCTCAGGCAACCACAGGGCACCATCTTCTCGGGCGGCTCCGGCAGCGGGCTGCCCACGGCTTCGGACAAATTGGAGACCCTCTTGCCAACCAGAGTGCCAAGCTGACCCCCATCCAGAAACATAACCATGTCCTTTCGGCTCTCCATCCCGGGGCTCTCCGGTGGGGGAGGGGAAAGCCCCAAGTGAGTTCCTAACCCCGGCTCCCTGGGTCTCCAGCGGCCGGACGGATCTCGACTGCAAGAGGGAGAGAGAGGCCGGGCTACTGGGCGGGCGCGGAGCGGCTGGAGCGCGGTGTGGACGGCGACGGCGACGGCGGCGGTGGCGGTGGGGAGCTAGGGTCACCTTGTGATGCGAGCGCTCCTCTGCGCCGCACAGCCTCTGGGAGGAAGCCCCATTGCCCTCTTCTTTCTAAGCTGTCATCCTCCTGCTGCAATCGTCATTACAGTACCGCTGGTGACGCCACTCGGCGAGCGCAAGTGGATAAATAGAAACGTCTGCCACAGCGAAGATGAAAGGAGACCCGCAGCTAATGGCTCGGCAGTGATGCGCCAGGTGTGGGCCTCGCTCGAATGGGGAGGAGAGTGTGAAAACAGATAGAGAGACACACACACTGAGAGGGAGACACCCTGGCAGAGGAGATGCAAATGGAATTCCGCAGAAAGAAAAGAGAGCTTAACGCGCGCGGCGAGTTCCGCAGGGGCAGCGGGACTTGGTAATTAAATACTCTTTTGATTTTTTTTTTCTTTTATTGTTGTTTTGACTTTTGTTTTCTTAACTTGGTGCCTTGATCTATGAAAGAATCCATAACTGCATTTTAGAAGTGTGAAGCCTGGCTTACAAGCCTCAATTCTGCCGGCATTATTACAACTGTCTGCCCCTGGCAGCTAACCTCAAACCGGCTGAAAAGTCTTTTTACAAGCTACGGAAAAACGTATCCCCCCGCCCCAAGTTGACTGGAGAGCTTGAGGCTGGGCCATCTTTTCCTCTCTTCTCCTCTCTCTCCCTACCCCCTCGGTCTCCTTACTCCTGGGAATCAAACTTTGCTATTTTTCTTCCCCAAGGGGCAAGAAATAAATTTTTTTTTTTCTTTAAAGGCCTGCCTGGGCTGCTGTCAGAGTGTGTGCTGAGTTTTATTAAATGCCTCCTTCCCATCTAGATGACCTTACGTTTTCCACAGCCTAGCTTCAGCTGGAGATGGCTGTTCATGGAAGAAGTCGCTTTCCCGTTTGTCTGGGCCTCGCCTGCACTCCAGGTATGTTGGGTGCGGAGAGGTTCTAAGAGTTGTCTTTTTTTTACTTGCCCATATTTTGAGTTTTTCGTTCAGAATCAACGAATTCTCCTGGAAAGATGTTTTTCAAATGAAGAGGCGCCAGGAAATGCAGCCCCTGCTGTGGCAGTGCTGAAGGCCCCTAGCCGGGAGATGGTAGTAGCTTTCACAGCGGTATTTTGGGTAGGGGTTGAGCCTCCTGGAGCACAGAAAGGTTGAGGTTCATAAAGGTTTGATTCATAAGGTCCTCTACCACGTCCCTGCCCAGGGGCAGTGGTCCTTGTCTCCAAAAGTGGGTGGTGTTTGAGGTAGAAGAAAGTGAAGTCACTGAAAAATGCCTTAAAACAGCAAGTAACTAGGGGAGCTGATGAAGGGCTGGAGGTGGGGGGCAGAGATTGCGGGAACTTGATATTTCTGGGCTGCCATAGGCCTCTCTTGGCTCCTCTTCCAGGAAGAAACTGGAATAGAACTCCTTCAAACTGACCCCTTTTGAGCTCCAAGCAAGTGTGCTGCGGCCAGGTAGGTGGGCTGGGTCTATCCCCACATTGCTGAGGGCAGGAGGTGGGCACCTTCTATGCTCAACCCCACTTTCTCCACCTCTCCCCAAGAGCTTCTAGCCCTAGGCAGCCAGCTGCAAAGGGCAGCCCCGGCACTTCTCTCCTTTCCATGCCCCTAGCAAAGTCCCAGCTTTTATAGATAAGTCTTCTTCCGTGACCTTTCAGTCTGTTATCTCCCACTTTTCTCTCCTCTTTCTCCTCCCTCTTTGCTTCTCTCCTCCATCTTCCTATCCATAGGGTTATGGACAGCATAGAGGAAGTAAGAGGTCCAAAGAAAGACAAAAGTTCCCTCCCCATTCTGGCTTTCCACTTATCCCTCATCTCAGAAGATGCTCGTTAACCTTGCCTGGGATCCGGAGGGTAGAGTCCACATAGATATCTCCACTCCCAGGGACTCCTGAAGCCACTATGTGCTGAGCACTGATAGCCCAAAAATCCAGGGAAAATGTTTTAGGGGTATAAGGAATGATTGGGAGTGGGGGAGTCAAATCCCAGAACCTTTTGCTGCCTTGGAGGGCTGCCCAGGGATTCTATCACGCTCTGTCCTCCTACCAGCAGCCACAGCCTGAGGGAGCACCTGGCTTGCTCTCTTTCCTGTCAATGACGAGCCCCCTGGGCATCTGTCTTAGAGCTGCCAAGGTTGCCTACTCTCTGCCGGGCCCTCCAGCACTGGGCCTTGGCAGCGCTTACCCTTTTTTCCCCGTTGAACATTTCGCCTTCTCATAGCCTGAGGCTCCCATCTCCTGGGGGTGAGTCCTCAGAGCAACTCCAGGCTCCTCACCCCGCCCCCAGCTCTACATTCAATGGGAATGCTCTGTTTGATCCTCTTTTCCTCTGGGTGAGATGAAAGCAGAGTAGGAGTGAGAGATCAAGGAGTACCACTTAGTCTCCTTCCTGGGTCGCCGGACCAAGCTGAGCTTCCCCTTACATCCTGGGGAGAGCGCTGGATGGAGTTGAGGAGGCTTTTCAGAGGGAGGCTGCCTCCTTTGGGCTCCAGAGCTGAAGCTTCAGGGACACATCCCTCAGCCCAGTGCTTTCCCCAGCCCTCTCCCGACTTCTCCCCGCCCTTTAAAACAGACTGTTTCTCCAGTCTTAGGGGCCTAAAATCCACCCCCACCGCTCGCCACTTTCCCCAGGTACATTAGGGAGAAAACCCTTTTAACCAAATGTCACTTCTTCCAAAAACATCCTTTCATCAACGTCACATTAAGAGTGGTTGGGTTTTTAAAGGAAAGAAGACAAAAAGAAGAGGGGACTGGATAAGAACTCTGTTTTAGTTTTTTGGGTGGTGAATGTGGGGGGAGTGTTTAATAACGTCATTATCACTGTATCGTGAAGGTTATTCGCGTCACGGCTCGAGAAGGAAGGTAAATCCGGAGAGCAAATGAAGCCCTGTACAACCCCATTAAGCCTGGGCAATCCCAAAACAGCGGAGAGGGGGTGACAGCAGCTGAGGTGGAGCCCACTCCAGGCCCGGCGACTTCACAATTCCGTCGGCGGGAGACACCCATCCCCCACCTACCACCCGGCAGATCCCCGGTCCCTTCCCCCGCTGGGGCGACGGGCTCCTGTCCAGCCTGCTCCTCTCGGATTGAAATTCTCAGGACTTCAAAAGCTCCCAGCGTGGCTTCCGCCGGGGCTGGGCTGGCCTGGGGCGGGCCGGGGGTGGGTGGGTGGGAACCCGACGGAGATAAGATGCACCGGTCGTTTTAAAAGGAATCGGAAGCCCGGCCAGGGCCCCCAGACACGCTGGTCAGCTGGAAAAGCTTCTCTTCCCAAGAAAACCCGGCTCGGGAAAGCGGCGCGTGTGGGGGCTGCCTCCGCTGTCTGCCCGCCCCGCTCGGGGGAGGTGGCCAGGGTCCCCAATCACCCTCCCCAGCCTGCAGCAGGCCTCCCAGCGGCGACAGGGCCCCCGAGAAGGGAGAGGGCGAGGAGTCCGGCAATGGAGGCCTGGAGCTGGCTTGTCGGCTCAGATGTCGGTGAAAATAGGGGCAGAAAAAAAAATGTTCTCCCTTCTCCGGTTAAAAAGTAAGAACAAAGGAAGCCTCCTTCTAAATAATAAGCGTGGTCTGGCTGTTGTGAATATTAGTCTTAGGCCGTGGTGGGGGAGCCAGCCTTCGAAGTTCTCGGACTGCTGGGTCCTCGCGGTGGGGACCGCGGGAGGTGGGTGGTTCTTGGAGCTGGTTCCCCCTTCTGCCGAGGCAGCTGCTGATGCCCTCTGGGAACCCTGTGCCACTGCTGGGTCCACCCCTAGGGAACAAGGTCCAGTGGCTCTCACACACTTACAGGTAAATCAGGGTTGACCACTCCCCTCACCTCTTTGCACTAGTGGAATCTGCTGAGAAAGTCCGTGGCAGCCGTGCAACTGTGGCAGGCACCATGGAACAGTTTCTCCTTCAGACAAGGGGAACCTGCGGCTTCTGGAACTCTGATTTCGAAGAATGCCCCCTCTTCTCCACCCTCCTGGAACAGGAAGCTGAATGCTTCTCAGGTCCTGAGAGCAGCTGGCCCTGCTGCACTCCTGCCTGCATACCTGTCTGCCTGGGCTCCTTAAGGCCAGCCTAGTGACTTCCTGTCCCTGTGCTAAGGATGTTTGGCCCATATCCCCATGCCCACCACTGGCCCATCCTGGGGCTGGAAGACCCAAGGTGGGGGACCGGCAGGCTGAGGACCTCCCCAAGCTCAAGGCTTGTCCCACCTCAGCCACTGACTGGAAGGGCCCAATGCAGTTTGTTTGTGTCCAAGAGCAATTCTCCAACACCCAAGCACCCAAAGGCCCAGACATCTCCCTCCCACTCCCTAGCAGAGATGCTATGGGTTCTTTTTTCATCATTATTGTCCTGAAGTTTGCTTTCATTACAAAGCACATTGATACCCATTTCTCATTTAATCTAACACTCTCATTTAATTTAACAGTCCTTTAAAAGGCCTCAAGAGTCCACAGTGCCTTTTCTCCCACAGTTGTAGGGTGACCAGTGGTCTTGACTTAGATGGCCAGGTCATGGCTGAGTATCAAGCCAGGCTCAGTCTTCTTCCAAGGCCATGTCCCTCCCTGGCCTTCAGGGATGCCTCAACACCCAGTAATGCTTCTTCTTTTCCTTTTTTTTTTTTAATTTTTTTATTTTTGAGATGGAGTCTTGCTTTGTCGCCAGACAGGAGTGCAGTGATACAATCTCAGCTCACTGCAACCTCCACTTCCCAGGTTCAAGCGATTCTTCTGCCTTGGCATCCTGAGTAGCTGGGACTACAGGTGTCCGCCACCACAACTGGCTAATTTTTCTTATTTTAGTAGAGATGGGGTTTTATCATGTTGGCCAGGCTGGTCTCAATCTCCTGACCCCAAGATCCGCCCGCCTCGACCTCCCAAAATGCTGGGATTACAGGCATGAGCCTCTGTGCCTGGCAACCCCCAGTAATGCTTTAACTCTCCATAAGACAACACTCCACAAAGTCTCAGCCTTTGCTAGGGGTTAGGTGGGTCCATGGGCCTCTCAGAGAGTGTCCCCCCGCCCTCAGAGGCATCTGTATGGCTGGAAGTCTCAGGGCCCACACAGCTGGACTAGTCTTCATCCTGCCACCCCTATCCCTTACCCCCACCATACTACGTTTTTCCAGGACAGTAAAGAGAAATCCTTCTTGGAAGTCCGGGACTCTCACATGATAAGAGCAGTCACTGCTCTAAGTGTTTCGTATGTATTAGCTCTCCAGCCTCACAACAGGATCTGAGGAAGACATCATGAATCATCCTTATTTTGTAGCTGAGAAACTCAAAGCACAGACACCTCATGTGTAAATGAGCATCAGGATTCAACCCCTCTCTCTGTCTCGAAGGCCACTCACAATTTGAACATTAAGAAGGTGCCAGGCATTGCCTTCTGAGACTTCCCTTCCAAAAATTCAACGTGTGATATTTTGCAGCCAAAATCTTCTCTACCTCATTTCCAGATTAACTCACAGAGGGAGTTGGGGGAGCCACCCTCAGGGATGTGAGGTAGGAGAACTGCTTTGCCTAAGCATGTGGGAAGGGTCTCAGGGTCTGAGGCCAGAAATGTCAGGAATATCACTGCAGCCACTGATCCTGAAGACCCTAAGAGACAAAGCCCAGTCCCTCTCTGGCCATCTTGAAATCCACTGAGGCTCTGAGAACATTTCTGGAAAGGAGCAGGACTCACCAAGGCCACCCAGCCAGTTATGGCTCCTTCACATAGCTACCAGCCCTCTTCCCAGGAAAATACAGAGGCAGAGAAGTTGGCCTTCAGTTTCCAGATTCCCCATCCCCTTGGAGCCACCATACTCCAGGCACAATTCCCTGAGCCATTTAACAGGGAGTGTAGCTTTACCAGGATAGTTTCCCTTCCACGGCAGCTACCTCCTTCAAACTGACCCCCAGGATTGATCCGTCCAAGGAGCAAAACCCAAGGGTCTGGCCAGGCTTGCCCAGATCCACAACCTGGATGGGGACATCCTCTATGTTCTGCATGTGCCTCCATCCAAATCCCTACACTCTGGACCTGCATCAGGGGAGAGAATGACCCGGCTGGGGTTTCTCCTATAAAAGGCAGGACTCGGTTTGGGCTGACCTTCTTTTGGGATAAAGGAGACCCAGAGTCCAGGGAGCTGTCCTGTTATTATCACCGTATTATATACCTTTGCTTCCTTTCCACTGTTGAGAAGAGATTGGAATGTTGGGGTGGGGGGTGAGGGGGGAGGGAATAGGTTTTCAAGAGATTTTGTTTGTTTTTAGTAGATTTTGTCCAGGCCAAATCCTTTCCAAGCACTGAACTATCCAAGAGCCAGACAAACCTGATCACCTGCTCCCCCTACTCCCTGCCCCCTGCAATGGGGCACCAACTCTCCCTCTCCCACTCCTGCAATGTAAGAGGGAACTTGCCCACTGTGACAACTGTCAGGGCGGCCCAACCAGGGGAACGCGGGACCCCACACCTGGGTGGAGGCATCATTTCAGGCCAGTCGAGTTGTCCTCTACAACTCCAGGGGCCCGAAACGCTTCCTCCCGGATGCGGGTCTCTCTTGTCTGTGTGCTCTCTGGCCCTTTGTCTCACTCCGTTTCCGAGCTGAGGAGAGGCCAGGGCCCCTTCCCCTCTCCTTCCCAGGTCTCTCCCGGCCTAATAAGGAGCAAAAGAGTCTGTTTCCCAGGTGCGGGGTGGGAGAGCCGGCACGACGCCCCCTTCCCCCACCCCAGGCAAGGGAGTCTAACTGGTTGGGCGGGCTCAACCTCTCCCTCCCGAGAAATGGAAAACCCTCTCCGTGCGGAATTCTGGGGACTGGCTTGCCTAGAGATCTCTCCTGACCCAGACTAGTTGCCACTCCCCTCCTACTGAGCTTCGGAGCGCCCGACGAGGAACAGCCCCTCCCGTCTTGCAGCGGGAAAACCGACTCTCCGAGAGGTTCAGGAATTTGCTCAGAGTCACACAGCGAGGAAGAGACCGAGCCGGGATTTTAATGAAAGTCGTCCAGACTCCAAGGGCCAGATTCTCCTCTGACGTTAACGCCGTGTCCCAGGACCGAGGACCGCTTTCCCTAAAACCCAGACAGACAACTGCGATGCCTTGAGTATGACTGAAAGACCGAGATAGGGGCCCCCCTTCCCAGGTGGATTGGGCAGGTGCAGCCTTTGTCCCCTTGGGCGATGAGCGATGGGCGGGAGCCAGGTGAGGTAGGTATCCGCGGAACCGAGCCCGAGGGCCGGGTGGCTCACCGGGAGGGGCCGCAGGGCGCCGCGACGTGGAGGGACTGCGCGCTCCCAGCCCGGAAGCCTGGCGCTGAGTCTGTGCGGGTGAGTTTCAGAAGTTGGGGAGCCGGCTGTCAGGGCGTGCTGCAGCTGGAGGACGGGAGGAGGGACGCCCGCCCAGAAGCCGGGGGCTCAGGACTGAAGCGCGCCACTGGCTGGGCCCCGGCCGGGGTAACAGGCCCTCCACTTGCCCCAGGTGCTGCCTGGAGCTCCTTGAGCGTCCCTTTCCAGCCTGGGAGCTGGTCGGCTGCCCTGTCCTCTCTCCGCCGCCCCTTTCTGAGCCCTCCGCCCCTCGCCGCCGCGGTGACAAAGCACAGCTCCCGAACTGCTGTCTTGGTGCGCCCCCCACTGCCGATCGCCAGAGGCGGAAGTCGCGGCGCGTCCCAGCGTCCTCGCTGGCTCGGATCCCGCCGCTCTGCCCGGAGCAGCGGCCCAATCCCACCTACTCCGAGGGCAGCCGATCTTGATTCGGTAGGGAGTTCCACCCGGCCCTCTGCGCCCGCTCTCTGAGCTGGACCCTAAGCGGGGTGGGTGGCGGGTCACACAGCCTGTAAACCTCGGCTTCTCTAGACAGTGATTAACCGCGGGTGGGGCGGGAAGTATCAAGCAGCTCTTCTGGGAGCTCCTTCCTCCGACCCCCCGCCCCACCCCGCCCTGTCCTTTGAGAGGAAACGCTGAACATCTTTCCCCAAACTCCCCCAACACACTTCGGCCAAGGTCTGGATAAGGAGGGTCTCATGGGTGACAGTGCCTGGTCAGCCTGTGTGTTCAGCCATGCCATCAACACACCCGTTGGCCCTATTTGTTGTGGCTCAGGAAGTCCAGGCAGTGGGGAGCCCCTGGACACTCCTTTCTCTGTAGCTCCAGGGACTCTTTCTTAGGCCTCACTTATGTCTGAGGACCATTTGTAATAAGACAGCCTTACAGCAACTCTTCTCGGATTCCCAATGACAGTGATCCTTGAAGTGTGGTCTCCAAGTCACCTGGGAGATGACAGGATTCTGATGCACACTCAAGTTTAAGAGCTGCAGCCCTACAAATTTCATTATTCCACTTGGTAAGTTTCTGTGATTCTCCACTCTTCCTGGAATGGCTTTTTTAATTTTTATTTATTTCATATTTTTATTTTTGAGATGGGGGGGTTCTCAATTTGTTGTCCAGACTGGTCTCGAACTCCTGAAATCAACCAATCCTCCCACCTTGGCCTCCCAAAGTGCAGTGATTACAGGCATGAGCCACCGCACCCAGCCTGGAATGGCTTTTTGAAAGTGTATCTTTAAAAAGAAAAAAAAATCCCTAGTGC